GCAATCCCTTCTCCTCCATTCTCCTCTCGGGATCTTGGGCACACACGCACACATGCCCAGCATGAGTTTAAGCCACCGGGTCCAGGACTCGAATCGTTGTTGACTACATGGGAGTCCAGTGACATAGCCATTACACTAACTGCTGGTCCTGCTTAAAGCCCCCCCCTCCAGTTTGCTAGTATGTGCTTTCGTCAGAAAGAGACAGGGCCCTGGGACCAGCAGTTAGAGTAATGGCTATGTCACTGGACTCCCATGTAGTCCACCATGGTTCGAGTCCTGGACCAAGTGGCTTAAACTCACACCAGGCACGTGTGTGTGTGTGTGCCCAAGATCCCGAGAGGAGAATGGAGGAGAAGGGATAGCTATGGCCATCCCCCCGGGGGGTGGTTTCTCGCTTTCTGTCTCTTTGTCTCTCTCTCTTTCTGGCGAGTGCACACACCCTATAGCAAAAGCCTCTCCAAAAAAAAAAAAGACAGGGCCCTTAAGAAAACTCCAATCTAGAGACATTGTTGGGCAGATCAATGGACAACGTGATGGCCATGCTGACCTATGTATCACAGACACAGTTAATACCTACACTTAATGCCTACAGTGAAACTGCTAAAGTAATGCAAGTTGTGAAAATGAGTCAGTAATCTAAACAGCATAGCATGACACAACTGAAAGAACACAACTGAAACCTATTCTATCTGTGACCGCAGCAGGGGAAGGCCAAGTAATGTATTTATGGCAGACCATCAGTTTTATGACAATAAGTAAGTAAAGTAAAAATACAGTTTTTTGGGGGGTCAGCAGATGGAATGGTTTCTCACTTTCTCCTCTCTCTTTCTTTGTCTCTCGCTGATGAACACACATGCCCTCTAGCAAATTAAATAGTAACAGCAATAAAAAGTAAAATTAAATAATTATTTTAAAATAATATTTTTAGGGGCTGGCAGGTGGTATGGTGATTGAGGCACTGGACTCCCACATGGTCGACCACGGTTCGAGTCACGGGCCTGGCAGCTTGCTTTTTTACTTTCCTCTCTCTCTCTCTCTCTCTCTCTCGCTCTCTGGTCAAATGAAAACAAATGAATAATCATTAAAAAATGGTATTTTTTTAAAGTTTGTTATTGCCCTTCCCTTATCACCTGGTAGCTGCACAGCCCAATCAGTTCAGCAAGTCAAAACCGTATTCTTAGAAAAAGAATTTGGAAGTTGATAACTAAACACAAAAATTAAAAGACCTTCCCAAGGTCATACAGGTCATCAAGACCATATCCTGGTCTGATTCCCACTGTCTGGCTCTCCCCTTCCAGACACTGCGTGGCGAGAGCTGCTAGAAGAGGGGCGTGGCACGATGCGGCTCAGTCACACACACCCAGGACTTCCGAGAGGCAGCGCAGCCTCCACGCCTGCGAAACGCCGCATGGGCTGCTGGGAAGGGCCTTGTTCACTCTAGTGTCTCGTACCCGGATGTGTGCTCGCCGCCACTTCCCAGCTTTGCTCCACTCACCTCCCCTCCCGCGCCCCGGGTGCGTAGAATCTACGTTACCTTTCCCAGAGTTCCGCTCATCTTTTGCTGCTGCGGCCACCGACTGCAAACCGAGGACCGGTTCCAGCAGCGGCGATCCCTGAAGGTCTGAAAACACTGATGGAACGGCCTTAATCAGGTCCAGTAACAATATCCAACCGCCACGCACTTCACTCCTGCTGCACCTTGGTTCCGGCACCTTCTGAGACTCTGCTTCTAGAAAACCCTGATCCCTTCGCCGCCCCCCCATCACCAGACTCCGCCTTCACTGCAGCTCAAGTGTCACCTTCACTGCTATTTCTCCTAGCAGATCAACTACAATCTCTGAATTACTCCAGCACTTTACATTCAATTCTGATATTTAATTTACCTTATTGTATATTATTTGTTACTGTCTCTTAATCATATTTGAATTCCTCAAGGACTGAGATCGTGTCTAAGTCATTTCAGCTCCTAGCACAGAAAGAACATGGAGATCTGACCTATAACTTCAATTTAAGAGCTTATTGATCCTAGGTGAACCTTTCTGATATTCAATTGTGTCATAGTAATTGATAATAACCCCCTTTTACTAAGTGATCCCCATGTGCAATAATGTGTTATGCTCGGTGCATCACTTAATTTATTCCTCATAATAAGCCTAAAAGTGAGGTATTATCACTCGATTTTACAGATAAGGAGATTCAGTAATCTAGAGGTTAAGGGACTTGTCTTGAGAAAAAGAAACTGAAGCAGAGCCCAGTTTCAAAGTCTCGTTAATGCGAAGTGATTACCCTCTGATACACCCATTCTCACATAAGATAATGTCAACACACATTCATTTATTTACTTTACACACCTCAACCATTTATTTACTTACCACTACTTTGAGCACAGCCTGGGAACACAGAGGTGATTATTACATGAACCCTGTCCTTAAGTGATATGTAGAGATTAGTGGGGAAACCAAATCATAAACAGACAATTGTAAAACAATGAAGAATTCATGTTACAGAGAAATACACACAAACTGTGCATGAAGGGAGTACGTAAGCATACAAAGCATCAAGTGAAATAGCAAATATGTAGTTATTTTTATTGTTGCTTCAGCTACTGTTATTGTCCTGGTAAGGAAAAAGTGTGAAAACTGGTAAATATGAATGGAGCTTCAGTGACAGATAAGACTATGTAGGTAAATCTATTCTCCGTTACCCCTTTCCCACCCCCGTGAAGGTAATCCTTCTCTTTTGGGGGGTAGATTGTTAGGAGACATGGTGGTTAATTTTGTCAACTAGACTGAGCAATGGGGTCTCCAGATACTTGGTCAAACATTATTCTGGAAGTTTCCTGTGTTATTGTTTTGGATGAGAATAGACTGAACAAAGTAGATTGTCCTCTCTAATGTGGATGGGTTTCACTCAGTCAGTTGAAGGCCTACGGAGAACAAAATGGCTAATCCTCTCTCACATAGCAGTGAATTCTGTCTGACTGCACTTCAACTCAGACATCAGCTTTGTCCTGACTTCTGACTCAAAATGAAGCCTTGGCTATTGCTGAGTATCAAGCCTGCCAGTCTTCAGACTGAAACTACAGTAAATCTTTGGTTTTCATGGTTCTCAGGCCTTCAGACTTGACTTGGAACTACTCCATCAGGTCTCCTGGGTCTCTAGCTTGCCAGTTCATACATTAGGACTTTCCAGCCTCCATAATCACATGAGCCGATTCCTTCTAATAAATCTCTCTCACGGTCTGTATGAGTATGTTTGTATGTGTGTTCTACTGGTTCTGTTTTTCTGGAGAGCTCTTTTTTTTTTATTATCTAACTTTATTTATTCATTCATTTATTTGTTTCAATTTGACCAAAGAGGGAGAGAAAGAGAGAGAGAGAGAGAGAGAACAAGCTGCCAGGTCCGGGACTCAAACCATAGTCAGCCATGTGGGAGTCCAGCACCCTTAACCACCACACCACCTGCCAGCCCCATGGAGAACTCTTGATACATACAGAGACTATCTAAAGAGACAAATTTGAGGCCAGCACGTGGTGTGGTGGTTAAGGGCGTTGGACTCCCACATGGCTGACCGCAGTTCGAGTCCTGGACTTAGCGGCTTGCTTTCTCACTTTCTCGCTCCCCCTCCCCTCTCTCTCTGTCCCTTTCTAGTCAAATTAAAATTAATTTATTGATTATTTTAAAAAGAGACATTCACAGTTAAGTGATGCACTAAATCTAATGTGTTGAACATAGTGGTCACTCAAAAGTAGTTGTCAATTATTATGAAGTAATTGAGTATCAGAGAATGTGGGAGGCTGCGCACCAGCAAATACCGCAGGTTTCTCAGAAAGCAATTACACAATGCCAAAGGTCACAATTGGTTCCCTTCAAAAACCTCAACTTCGAGACATGCTCTGATTGGCCACTAGAATCCCTCAGGTTTGCATATCCAGTACCTCATGATTGGTCCAAAAGCAACCAATCATAACCCACCTTTTACAACCAATCACGGCCCACCAGTATGTATATAACCATGATGCCTGGTCCATAATCGACAGACAACCAGGAAGACGACACTAACGACCAGGAAGACGACACAGACGACCAGGAAGACGACACAGACGACCAAGAAGACCCCGAAGAGTTGTAACACCGCATTGTCTCTGGAAGACCCTGAAGAGTTGTAACACCGCGTTGTCTCCAGACGACCTTGAAGAGCTATGACACTGCACCGTCTCCGTGCTGTACCGTGCTGCTCACAATAGACAGAAGACCCTGAAGACACTGTGTCGTCTCCGTGTAGTAACACTGTGCCGCTTGTCCCGGCTCTCACTCCTTCCCTCAGGAAACCTGTTCGACTGTCCCCCCGGGTTGGGACAAGAGAAAGGCTCATAGACAGTGTACAGATGTACAGTGACTAAATATAATAAAAATATATAATATAAAAAATTAGTGAGAAAAAAAGCCATTGGATTTTAGAACTGAATTTTTTTAAAGAATACTATAGAGTACATGTGCTAGCCAGAGAGAGACAGAGACAGTGAGAAGGAAAGTGAGAAATCATCCCCCAGCGGGATAGCCATGCTGTAATCCCTTCTCCTCCATTCTCCT